GAAGATCCCCTGAAGAAGGGAAAGGATACCCACTCCAGAATTGGACTGGAGACTTCCATGGACTATGGACCATAGAGTGGCAAAGAGTTGGACACAACTGAGCGACCTGCATTTTCACTTTGAAACTAACACAGCATTGTAAGTGAACTATACTTCAATAAAAATTTTTTAAAAATAAATGTAAATACCAAAACATTGGATAGTTGGAGGTTCAATCGTAAAGTCTTTCCAGCCATTCGCTCAAGTAATCAATCACTTACTGACTCCCTCATTCAGTACATAGTTATAGAGCACCTATCAGTTCTAGACAATATTTCTAAAAATAAACATAAATGTAAAATTTATGCAAAAAATCAGTGCTAAAAATCAGATGAACAAAATATCAAAATTTTAAATAAAAACAAAATCGGTATTTTAAAAATGTTTGTCCCTTCTGCCTCAGGCTCCAGTAAACAGCATGGCACTGTTACAGAACTCATTTTTATTTAAAATTTTGATCTTTTTGTACAGAACAGACTTTTGGACTCTGTGGGAGAAGGCAAGGGTGGGATGTTTTAAGAGAACAGCATTGAAACATGTATATTATCTAGGGTGAAACAGATCACCAGCCCAGGTTGGATGCATGAGACAAGTGCTTGGGCCTGGTGCACTGGGAAGACCCAGAGGGATCGGGTAGAGAGGGAGGTGGGAGGGGGGATTGGGATAGGGAATACATGTAAATCCATGGCTGATTCATGTCAATGTATGACAAAAACCACTACAATACTGTAAAGTAATTAGCCTCCAACTAATAAAAATAAATGAAAAATAAATAAATAAATAAATAAAATGAACCCTTTAAAAAAAAATTTGACCTTTTGTTTATCTTGGATTCTTTTGCATTAATTTTGATATTTTAAAACATTACATTAAATAGTATCTATTTTGATTATTGCATTTGTTTGATACCCTCTTAAATTTTGTGCCTCAGGCAAGTGCCTCCTGCTAATTCCTCCTGTCCAGGCTTTGTAAAAGCAGAAGAATACAAAAAATAAATAAGATCTGTATGTATTCTCAAGGAGTTCTCAGCCTAGTGGGAAAGACAGACAGGGAAACACGTAATTGAAATACAATTATTTCTGTAATGGAAATATGTGCAAGAGCCAGTGTTGGCACAAAGAAGGGAGGAATCCTCCTCGTTGGGATGGATAGTTGGCATCAAGAAAGGGTGAAGAAATCGTGTGCTCAGGCAAGGAGGAGTGCGGTGGCAAGATGAGCCATTCAATCCAACTGGCAGGAGTGCAAAGCAAAAGCTTGGGATGACGGCACGGCAGAAGGGGAACTTGGATGGGTAGGCAGGAGCCAGGGGCTGCAAACACTGATTGAATACCTGGCATGTGCTTGGTGCTCTGAGAACCCCACAAAGCATTATAATCTTTGTTATAATGTGTGCTCTGAGGAACTCACTTTAATTACAGCAGACAGAGCACGTCATAGGAAAAAGAAACAATAAAAGCAGGTGATTAACAAGGGGCGCAGGGACAGTCTGCAAGAAGACAGTGGCTTCCAGGAAGGTGCAGTCAGTCACTCTGGACTAGGGAGGACACAGAGGAAGTGGCCCTTCAGTTTAGAAGTGAGGGGTTTAGCCAAGTGCCCAGACTTCACATCTTCCTGGCTATCTCCTCTCTGTCATGATGCTCTGTCTGCATCTCCCTGACTGAACAGCTTCCGTTCATTCATTCTTCTTTGTGAATGCAGCCTAGAAAGCACCCTCGGCGGCCCTGGTTTGGAAGGCAGCCAGAGCTCTGTGTCCCTGGAACATAATCCCAGCTGACTCCCCTTGCTGGGTGAGCACCGCAAAAGGTATAAATAACATCAGTGATGAACGCCTCCCAGGACTGCTGTGGGATTAATAAACCCTTGAGACCCTGGCACTCCAAGCCCTGCAGAAACTAGTGCTTCAGTAGCTATTATGAGCAGGCTCCCAGACATGGCTCCTTCAGCACATGCTGTTAGATAATCTCTCCCGACTATTGCTGGGAGCCATCAATCACTCAGTGTCTGTCTCCTAACCCAGGCTCTGGGAAGAGAAGGTGAGGGACTCTGCAAGGATAATGTGGGGTAGGACATGAAGGGGGCAACTGTCCCCAGCTGGGTGACTTTCTCAAGAATAAAGTGAGTATATGTCACAGGCACAGGCAACTTGGTTTCCCCACCTACTGAGTGGCCAGCAATTGGGCTGTTGATAACTATCCCCATTCTCTCACTGGGCACACGGTGGAATTGCATTTTTCTTCCTCCTTTGGGGGCTTCCCAGGTGTCGCTAGTGGTAAAGAACCCGTCTGCCAATGCAGGAGACATAAGACATGAGTTCAATCCTTGGGTTAGGAAGATCCCCTGGAGGAGGGCATGGAAACCCACTCCAGTATTCTTGCCTGGAGAATCCCATGGACAGAGGAGACAGGTGAGCTACAGTCTACAAGGTTGCAAAGAGTTGGACACGATCAAAAGGACTTAGCACACATACACCCTCTTTGGAGTCAAGTATAGCCATGTGCCTCGCTTTAGCCATGAAGCTTGGGGGAGGGGTGGTTAAAAGTTAGTGCAAAACTCACCATTCTTCCAGCTGTATAACAATTGAGGAAGAATATGTCAATATTGATTTAGCTTGGGAATCTAAATGACCAGGAAAAGCAGAGACCCCCCTGATCTGCCTTCCAAACATGAATGAGAAATAAACTCTTGTTCTTTTAAGTTACTGAGACTTGGGAGATTTTTGTTACTGCAGCCTGGCATAGATGAGCCTGATTAGGTCAGGACAAGCTATCCAACCTTTTGAAGGCTCTGTTCCCTCACTTGCAAAATGGGGATAATCATATCTATCTATAGAGTTAGAGTAAGATTTACAAGAGATAATTCATGTAAAATCATTAGCAAGTTCTCAGCCCATTGTAATTACTCAATCACTTTAGCTCAAAGATTATTATTGTTATTGTCATAGTATTCTCACATTTGGTATTGCATCTCTCTTCTTAGCTGCTACCTCTCAATTTCTTTACCTCTTTACCATCCCTGATGGAGGTATTTGTCCTCCATGTGTAGACTGAGTCGTATTCTCAGGCTCTAAGATCAGGTCCAGCTGAGGTGGGAGGGTTTGAAGCTGCTCTAATCCAACTGCCTGGAGGTGGTACCAAGTTATCCATCCACCCAGAGCTGCCCTTATGCCTGGGTTCCAATGGCTGGGCCTCTGCCCACTGCCTCCTCCCGTATCATACCCCGGGAAATGGTAACTAAATTTTCATGTCATTTCCAAGGTCTAGTGTCTGGTTCTTCGTATCTTACATTTACATCCTTGGTATCTTACTCCACACCCTTAGCTGTGGATTCCGACCCTGAAATCTGCTGAGGCCTCATCTTCTGCAGACTTACTTGTTCAGAGTCCTTGTCACGCTTTGGTCACTCTATGGCCATGCACTGACCCCTGGCTGCTGAGCCTCTGATAAACTGTGACTGCAGCATCTTTGCTTTGCTTCCCAGAGCAATTTTTATCCTCCCCCCACCCCCACCCAGCATCTGGGGGCTATCTTTTATCGGCTATCTTTTCTAGAGTGTGTGAATGAACTATGACTTGTTCATGCTTGTAATTCCAAAGCTGGGCATGCAGTAGGTACTTAGAAGGTATCTGTTGAATGGTGAAAGAATGATGAATGAATGAATGGAATGATGGAATCATAGACCCTGAATACCAGGAATGATAGATATTAAAGCCCTTTCAGACTCTTCTCTTCTTCAGATTAAAAACTGAAGTCCAGAACCACATAACCCCCTTAGAGGCAAACTGGACCCAGTAACCACACATTCCACCCGGGGAAAACCAAGGAAACACACACCCTGCCTCAGATTCCCCATGCCAGGGTGGACGCAAAATCCCTTACTGTTCTCCCCGACCAGGAATAAATGTAATCTACTAATAGGTGACTATATAATAAGTCTTCTCTTTAAAAAAAAAAAAAAAGCAAAACAAAAATAGAAAATCAGTCAGTATGACAATAGGGGGAATTATTTAGGGAAATATTTTTCTTTTATTCCCCTCAACTTACTACAGTACACAAAGAGGAGATGTGTTTGAATAAACAAGGCAGATACTGAGTAGAAGAGGGAAATGACATGGACTTCCTTCACGCTGACCAGCGTGTAAGCCCCAGAGCTGCAGCGGGCCTGCAGGCCTTTGCTCTGCTGGGGTTCCCTGGGCACCTGCCTTCTGCCCTTTCCAGGCCTCACTCACATGCAAGATTCTGTGGCAGTCTTGCCTTCTCCAGGGCACCCAACCAATAAGCTCCTGTACACAGCACACGTGGACAGAGAGGCTTCCCAAACAACGCCCAGTTTTCTCTTAGCTTTACGTCAGCGTGGCACCCACTGGCCTCCTGGTGTCACCTTGCGTTCCAAGAAGCTATTCGGAGCCTAACCTCTTCCTGAGAAGCCAGTTTCTGTACGTCTTCTCTTTTCCACAAGAAAAATGGGTCTTGTGCTGCAGAGTACGCGCCGGCCTTTCCAGTGTGCCCACGGGCTGAACCCAAGTCTCCAGTGAGTGTCTGCCCGCAGCTAGCTCTGGTCCATGCGCTTCCTTCACTAGCAGCTACTGCCGGGGCATCACAGGTGCAGGAAAGGGCCCCGGTGGGCGAGCGCTGCCAGCAGACGCACAGCCTGTGTGCTGCTCGCTGCAGGCCGTCAGGCCGCCCTGCACGAGCTACTGCGCTTGCCCTGTTTTTCTGGCTGGCAAAATGCAGGCCTCACCAGAACAGGGGACGTGAGCTGACCTGAAGGCCTTCTGGAAACATCAGAGAAGCACCCAATGAAGCTCTGGCACATGGTGTGACCTATGCGTGCAGTCTGCAAACTTCTGATTAATGAAAGGAACCCACCTGAAGGTTCTTTCAGGGAAAAAAAATTCCCTCGAGGCACTCTACTGGCTCCCCATAAACAGAGAGAAAACCCTGGACCCAAGCAAAGGGAGGCAGTCAGGACAGGTGGCCCTGCCTGTCCAGCAGGCAGAGCAGAGCCGAGGGGCAGTGGCGTCCCAGGGCACGCAGGGGGAAAGCCCGCTCAGGCTCTGTGCGCTTCCTGCAGGGGAGCATGCGGTCACAGCGGCCTTCATGGCCCAGTGCTCGTCAGGGCTGAGTCAGGGGCCCCGTCCCAGCAGAGGTGGGGGTCAGAAACGAGAGACGGCAGCCCCACACATCCTGTGTGGAGGACGACAACACTGGCGCATGCCTGCTCTGGGCAGCTCAAAGCCCTTCAGACGTGGGATCATGCCGCCAGTCAGTCCTCCCCATATCCTGGCAGGAGCCAAAGTGGTCTGGATTACTAACCTCATTGCCTTGTTAAAGGCTCAGACCTCCTCGAAGTGACCCAAGAGTCAGTGACCAACAGGATGTGGAAACTGGATCTCCTAGGTCCGAATCCTCCCACTGTTGCCCAAGTCAGATGACTAAAAGGCTCACTGAGACACTGAAGGATAGCTACAGGACGTCACCACGCCCCGATGACAGTGATCCTGGCACTTCGGAGGTGGTTAATACATGCTCACTGAATAAACAAATGCATGGGAAAATAGCTCCTAGAGACCCAGCACCTGGAAGCCAGAGGCTGCCTCTTCACCCAACCCTCCCCTCTCCCCACCATGAGCACCTAGTCTGCAGAGCTGGCCCTCTGCTCACGTCCTGGGAGCCCACTTCCTGTTGGTCCTAACCTTACAGGGTCCCCCGGGGCTACACACACAGCTTCCGGCTACTTCCCATCCTCTGTCCAGTGCCTCTGCCACTGGAAGCGGGGGACCACTTCCCCCGTGCCCACCCCAGACCTCTGGCTGAAGCCTCCTGCCTTCCCGGCACTGGGTCCTCCCCCGCTCCCCACCCCACCGAGTGTGTGGGTGTTTGCTTCCTATTCTATAACTTGACACCAGTCTTGCTGTCTGACACCCTATCCTTTCCTCTTTCACCCGCCTCAAACCTCTCCTCAGTGATAACCACCATTCAGAGCATTGTTTTGTTTAGTCACTAAGTCATGTCTGACTCTTTGCAACCCTATGGACTGTAGCCCACCAGGCTCCTCTATCCATGGAATTCTCCAGGAAAGAATGCTGGGGTGGGGTGCCACTTCTTTCTCCAGGGGATCTTCCTGACGCAGGGGTAGAACCCAAGCCCCCTGTGTCAGTGGTGGACTATTTACCGCTGAGCCACCTGTGAAGCCAGAGGTCCACCGGCATCACTCTAATCCCACAGTTGGCTTCCACACCCACCTTCCCCCTCAGAGGGGCTTCTCAGCTAGAAGCAACATAATCCTCGCTTCTGAGCTTTCCAAGCCTGGTTCATAATTCAGTCCAGGTGCTGCTCTGAGCCCGCCACCCCCAGACCCTGCTGGGATGCTGACAAGGCCGCCTACGGTTCAGTAGCCCTCCAACCACAACCCAGCCCGGACAGCGCTGGCAGGGGCCGTGCCCGGGTCTCAGTCACAGCGTTTCCCTCCTCTGCCTTGCCTCCACATACTCTTTTTTTTGGCCTCACCACATGGCACGCAGAATTTCCCCAACCAGGCATCAAACCTGTGCCCCCCACATTGGAAGCTCACAGTCATAACCCCTGGACCACCAGGGAAGTCCTACGTGGTCCTTTTTCTCCCTTGCGCCTTGTGATGATCACTGAGGAACCGAATTCCCCATTAGCCAAGGAAGACCATGGGGTGAGAAAACAGGAGGGTAATCTGATCAGAACCAAATGTGGAGACCTAACAGTGAATTTTCTCAAAATGTTTCTAGAACAACCAATTTTTTTAAACTCTCTAAATGGAATAGGAACCTATTACAAAGAAAGAGAAAAACACAAAAACCCAGTACCATGCATCTGTCTAAGAAAAGCCCAAACGTGAGTCTGCAGTCCAGAAAACACCCTCCGTCCGCGGTAGGCACAAAGGCGTCCCGTGACCCGTGCACTGAACCCCTCTCCCGAGGTGCTGGGGGAGAGGGACCGGAGCCCGCCCTGGAGAGACGGGAGGCCGCGCGTGGCCGTACCTGCTGCCGGCCCTGCGCCTGGCCGGGGGGTGCAGACGGGAGGCCGGGTGAGGTAGGCGGCACGGTGCTGGTGTGGGGCCGGGTGAGGAAGGCCTGCTGCTCGGGGAAGTCGGGGCCCAAGGGGGGCGCCTGAGTCCTGCCCTCCTGGGAGATGACGGGCTGCTGGCCGAGCACCAGGAACACCAGCTCCTCCTTCTCCCGGCACATGTCGGTAGAGATGTCGTGGAGGCTGAGATAGTCCCTCAGGTCCTTCACCTTCATCTTCATGAGCTCCTCCCGCCGGAAGCCCGTGGCGCAGACGCGCTGGCAGAGAAGGCAGAGCCGGGGACCAGCCCCCACTTGGCTCGAACAGCTGGTGCAGAAGTTCTTCTTACAGTCCAAGCAGGTCTGCTGCTTACGAGCGAGAGGCAGAGAAAACCACATCAGACCGTGAGGACAAAACAGCATGACAAGGGCTGGGACGACCACCTGTGACTCGTCCTTTCACTGAGCTCCTCCTCTACCTGGGGGTCGGGCCGCCAGGCAGAGTTTGGGGTCAAACCCCCGCGGAGGCAGCAGGGCCCCCACAGGTCTCCTGCAGCCACAAGCAGGGCCCCGCGGGCAGGATTCCACTGGAGGCTCACGTCACTCATGCTACTCACCGGGAGACAGATAGGCTGTTAATTAAGAGTGACAGCTTCAGGATAAGAAAAGCCCTGCCTTTTATGAAGTCTCCCTCCTCCGCTTCTTGTGGGGTCACCTTGGGGCTGTAACTCAGCCTCTCTGGCCCTGTTTCCTCATCTGTAAAGTAGGGGATGATGAAAACAACTACTTCATGGGACTGTGGTAAAGTTAAGAGATAATGCGCTTAGCATATCAGACACGTGTGTCTTCCATAAGTGTTTAGTGTTTTAATTATTATTTCTAGGAAATAAAAGCCAATGATGAGAGTCAAGATTCAAATCAGTATCACGGAGTAACTCTCCTCCAATAATTGTCTTTTGTTCTATACTTCTCAATACTATACAATCTATGATAATTACTACTCCATATATATATATATATATATATGTATAATTAAACGACTGAGGGGCTACCATGTGCCAGAGCTGGACTTGGCTTATCATTTAGTTCTGAAAGCAGGTATTTTCCTACCTCCCTGCTTCCAGGACAGAGCATCCGAGGCCTGTAGAGACGAAGGCGCATCCTGAAGGGCAGGCAGGGGACGGTGGGTCTGGGTTTGGTGCCCACACTCGTGCTCTTTCCACCAGGCCGCAGGACTGACTCAGCCCCACGCCAGACCCCACCGTGCCTGGCCAAGGGTCTGGCTCTCCCTCTCGGAACTCCTGGCCCTGACCCTGCCCTGCCCCGGGAAGGCCCACTCCGAGTGCTGGGAGTGCGGGGCTGTATGAGAGCAAACCCAAGACAAATATTTAGTCAGCAACAGGAGGCCCTCGGACACAAGGGGGGAGCTCTCATCTGTGGAAGTACAGGGTGTCTCGGGTGGCTGACGAGAGCCGCCAGGCAGGCGAGCTGGCACCGCCTGGCAGCAGCTACTCCCAGCATCACAGGGCACCAGGGCGTGCTCGGCCCCCAGGAGGCAGCTTCTGGCCCCTCGCCCCGGAGGCTGAGCAAGTGCAGGGACAGCCGATGAGCCCTGTTCCGGCCACGAGCAGGCCACACGCCACCACGGGGGTGAGCCCTGGGCCCCTGCGCTGGTCCTGCAGGGACCCTTTAGAGAAATTAACAACTTTTCATCCTGGGGTGACTTCAGAATTAACCTAAATCTTTCTGCCCTCTCTTTTCTAAGTATAGAAAGCTGTTCAAGCAAACAAGAATGCCCAGGAGACTCAGATTCCCAGAGTCAAAATCACAGGCACTCTGGTGTGGCGCTGAAGAAGTCTGTAGAGCAGAGGGGGTTATATTTAGTCTTTTCTAAGTGTCATTTGAGCAGTAAAGGGAAGCGAACGTAAGGCTGTGACTGCTGACACTTGGAAGGACACATGTCAAGCTCCCTCACTCTCCACCCAGTGATAACCACACAATACAACGTTCACATGGCTGCACGCACTTTAGAACAGTTCTGGTACCAGTCGCGCTTGGGTGGAAAGGAGATGTTTTGGGGTACTTTGGGGGTTCAGTCACAGCTAAAGCTTTTCTAGTGAGCAATAAGATGTGTTTAGGATGACACAGTGAAATTACAAGGCTTCCATGTCATAAAGCTGTAGGTCCTGACATGGAACACTGCTTACATCAGTACAGTTTGACAAGACCTAGTCTGACACAACTGAACAGCCCTGAGTTGCTCCATCAGCTGGATCTAAACAACTGTCTTCTACGGTGTGCAGCGCACAGGATACCAGATCAGAAAGCAAAGACAGCAACCCACCCAGCTCCTCCGCACCCCCCAGGGGCTCTGAAGCCTGAAACACACCCGACAGGAAACAGTAAGTCAGTGCTCGCTTGAGGCTAAAACCCCAGTTTGAAGAGTCAGGAGAGAAGAAAGGAGAAGGAAAAAGCAACCGTCAACAAATGCTGGCAGAACAAGTAAAGAAAACACGTTAAGTATAAATTCCAGCAAACCGTACACACTGAGTAGCGAGGTGGCAAGAAAGATGACCGAGGGGAGCCCGGGTGCCCACAGAGACACCTGGAGCATGGGGCGCCAGCAGGGGTGCCTGCGTGTGGCTCCCCTCTGCCAATCCACCCTTCCTCTGCTACCCCCCACCCCAGCCAAGTTCCCTGGCACAGGCCAGGCCCATGTTCTCAGCCCTCCTCCTTGCCGTCCTGCCCAGAGGCAGCCCCTCCTGGGAGGGAAAGGGCAGCAGGGACACGCTAGGATTAAGTCCTGGCTGGCTGCATCCCCGCTGGGGAAACTCTGCAAAACAGACAACTTCCCAGAGCATCAGCTCAAGACTTCCCTGGTGGCTCAGTGGTAAAGAATCTGCCTGCCAATGCAGGAGACACAGGTTGGATCCCTGGTCCAAAGAGATCCCACATGCCGCGGAGCCACTAAGCCTGTGTGCCTACAAGTACCGAGCCTGCGCTGTAGAGCCAGGGAACTGCAGCCAGCCCTCACGCCAGAGCCCGTGGTCCGCAAGAGGAGCCACTGCCATGAGAAGCCCACGCACCGCAACTAGGGAGAAGCCCTCGCAGCAGCGAAGACCTAGCACAGCCCCAAACAAGAAAAACACAAGCAAAACAAAAGTCAGATGCTCAGCCTACCTCGAAGGACTACTCAGCTACTACACGAGCTAATGCACAGTGAACCTCAGCAGGAGGTAGGCACCTCACACAGTAAAAGGTAACACAGTCACCTCGAGTTCCCTTCCCCTTGGGCCAGGACCAAGGAGCCATCCCCTCTTTCTACTCTGAGACTTGATTATCTCCTCCATGTCTAAAAACACAACCTCCCTGCCAGGCCACCCTATCCTCCCCTTCCTCCACCTGGTCAACTAGAGAGGCCAAACCTCCTCCAAAACCGTCAGGGCTGCTGCTAAACCACATGCAGGTATCACCAATACAGACAGGATATGTCACTTCCAGCTAGTCCTGTCCTGCAATTTCCAAGACTGGAAGCTCTGGGAAGCCATGGCTCCATATTTTTTTACATCCTCTCTTATAAAGTCCTTAGTGCTCACTGGGCTTTGTACCAGGGAGCATTCAGCAAATACTGACCACAATGAAGAAAGGAAAAAGAGACAGGAGGATCCATGTCGTCATTTCAATTCAACCACTTCAAGAAAAGACATTTTGAAAGCTTGCAGCTGTTAAATGCCAAACCCTTGAGATAAGATGCCGATCCACTCAAGCATGAAAGTACAAGTGCAAAACTCTCGTAGGAGAAAACATCCTTAATATTCACAGAATTCACTGTGAATTACACAAAATTAATCCATCCCTTTGTGGCAAGAAAATATTGTACCAATAACCATCTTTTACCTTCCAACTAGAACTTCCTTTCCGCCTACAGAAGCTCTTCTTGGGACTTGCCTGGTGGTCCAGGGGTTGAGAATCTGCCTGCCAGAGACACGGGTTTGATCCCTGCTCCAGGAAGATTCCACGTGCATTGGAGCATCTACCGAGGCCACGTGTTGCCAACAACTGAGCCTGTGCTCCGCAACAAGAGGAGCCCGAGCAACGCAACTGGAGCTGGTAGACCCCCTCACTGCAACTGAAGAAAGCCCAATCGCAGCAACAGAGAACCAGTGCAACTAAAATAAACAACTAATTTTTTTTTTTAAGTTCTTCTTCTTGGTACAGAAGCTTTCTTCCCGTCTCCTCACACAGCTGCGCCTTTGCCCTCATCCTCCTGTTAGACTTTGAGCTCCCTACTGTGGAGGGATGACTCTTCATCTTTACCTTTCCAGCCCAGGCAATGCCTAACACACCTAACACACTGGATATTTTTCACTAAATAAGAAAAAAAATTACTTTATTTTTTAATTTTGGCCACGCCAGGCAGCTTGCAAGATCTTAGTTCACCGAGCAGGGATCGAACCCACACCCCCTGCAGTGGAAGCTCAAAGTCTTAACCGCTGAGCCACCAGAGAAGTCCCCAGAAGCTAATTATTTTACTCAGTGCCATGCCTCATTTTAGACAGACTGATACCCTGGCTTCTTCGATTTGACCTCCTCCTCCTCCATTTCATCCGTCTTCATAGCCACAGTCCCCTGTATCTTAGTAGCTGAAGTGCCTTTTGTGTCTGAGTCTCTTCCTTTTCATTTGTAAAATGGGTTGACAACCACTCCTTCACAAGGTCTGGCACAAAGAGCCGCTCACCAGATAGAAACTACCTGGATCGGTCTCGGCCTCCCCCAGACTAGGCTCTGGGAACTTCCCACTGGTGTGGAGCTGCCTCAGTGCCTCTCCTACGGCTCCGGCAAACCACCCTCCTCGTGAAGCCATGTCCGCTCCCTGAAATATGATCAGCCAGCTGTGGCTTTGTTCAGAATCCTTCAGCGCTTCCTTGTGGTCTGGTGGCTACAGGCTCCTCACTGTGGAAGCCCTGGGCCTTTACTACTAAGGTCAGCTTTGCTGCCTCACCTCCCCAGTACCCTGCATCCTGGTCGGACAGGCCACGCACTCTTCCCAGGCCCAACCTGCATCTGCTCCACCTCTGGTGCTGTTACCTCAGCCACTGCTCTGCAAATCAACAAGCCTTGCTCTGTGGCTAGAATGATCCCTTTACCAACAGTGCCTGATGGCCTCATACTTAACTTATGCAGCTGACTCGTTAGTTCTTTGTAAATGGAGGCCTCCTTAACCAGACAGTAAGCTCCCCAGGGGAATGCCCTATGTCTTGGCCCTCTCTCCACAAAAGCGTGACCTCTAGCTGCTACCACGCTGCTGGGACAGAACCGGGCCCTCAGTGAAACTCTTCAGCATGGAAATGCTAGCCATAGAGTGATGAAAGTAGAAACTCTCTGATCTACTTGCTCTTTTGCAAATTCTTCTCAACAGTCTACTCATTCATTCATTCATTCGAAAAACTGTATTGCCCAACCTACCATGTCAGTCTAGATAGACACTGGGAAAAACTTGTGGGCAAAACCGACAGAATCCCTTACTCTGTGTACCATCTGAAAAGACAGTCAGTCCACAAACACATGTATGTTGGGTGGCGAAAACCACTATGAAGAAAATAAAGCACCTTCCCATCCCCACCCAACCATCTCTCTTTCTTCTGGGGCCAGTTCTCTCATCCATCCGCTTTCCCTCTTCTGGCTGACCAATGTCAAAAATGTGCTGGATCTCCTGATTTTCCCAAGTCGGTTTTTTTTTTTTTTTTCAGTTGGAAGATACAGAAAGAAGCAGGGCAAAGGCTAATAGAGTTTTGCCAAGAGAACGCACTGGTCATAGCAAACACCCTCTTCCAACAACACAAGAGAAGACTCTTCACATGGACATCACCAGATGGTCAACACCACAATCAGATTGATTATATTCTTTGCAGCCAAAGATGGAGTAGCTCTATACAGTCAGCAAAAACAAGACCAGGAGCTGACTGTGGCTCAGATCATGAACTCCTTATTGCCAAATTCAGACTGAAATTGAAGAAAGTAG